TGAAATAATGCAAAAATAAAGAATTCCCTTGTTGAATGACCTAAAATAAAATGTAAAAACGGATTCCCTGTTGAGGAGATATGCATTCAAATACGACATTTAAAACTGAAGATACAGTTCTCATAATTAATGGCAGTCTAAGACTAGTTAGTGTGAATAAGCAGGCGTAAATGACAACGAATTTTCAACGCCTATCTACTAAATTATTTTTTCTTAACTTTTAAAACAGTTAAAACGTCAGATCGTATGGCTGGGAGGAGCTGTGGCACTAGGTTGAAGATGAAGATCCTTTGATCTAGGTCCCCCAGTCCTGGCTGTACTGTTAGACATGGCGGTACAATCCAGCCTGCTGCCCATCCATAGCTGTGGCTGGCTCGTGGGATCGACGTGGGAGAAGGTCCACACTGCATGAACGCCTGCCAGGTAGCGCTATCTCCAGAGGAGCAGGAGCTGGGAATCTCACATACCACGTGGAGGACTTACAAAATGCCACGTCTGCTCCTTCACATTTTCTTCGCAGAGTAAATTCCATCAACAGCCGTGGCAGAGAGCGCTGCAGCCAGGAGCACAGCTCTCCCGGACTCTGTGATTTCAGCCATAAAAATGTGGGTTATTCTACATTCAAATCCGGGGGTCAGATCTGGGTTTTAGCGAGTGGCAGAATAGGTGACCTTTATGTAGCGCGTGCACACAATTGTGTTGGCAATTCATTTGAAGGCCCAGTCTGCATTAAGAGAAGAAAAGCATGTGAAAGAGTTTTAGTAGCTAGCAGCATCTCTGGTTCAGAGGACAACATTAACTGAGATTTGCATTTCTTCATTTCATGAGAGGACTTGGTAGATGAAATGTCTTTTTTTTCCTCCTTATTTTCCCCATTTATCTCTTCATGTGCTGTCTATTAAAATTAAATACTGTCAAATCTGAAGTGTTCTTGGCTTCTTTTCAGCTGTCTTCTCCACAGTTAACACTAATAATAAACCTCTGTTATTATAAATGGTTGTCAATTAACAGGGAGAGAACATTTTGAAGTTTAGCGTGCCATTTATTTTATTACAATATTTAATGCTTATGATGCAAAAGTTGGATTTTCCTCAAATCTAGTAATAAAACCATCCCAGTTCATGACTTTGTAAGTGTCTGATTAATGGTGCAAAGAAAACGTTTAAGAGCAGATGTTTGTGCCTTCCATGAATTTACAATTTCAGTTTTTTTGCAGCCTGTCTTTTTAACATCAGTGACTTGCAGATGTCAGCAATGTCTAAATGCAGCACCCAGGGCCAGGATGACACACAGTGAGAGAGCAGCTAAGAGGAACTGGTTGAACCCCATGAGAGAGGCTGTGCAGTCGCCCTTGATTACAAATCCAGTTGCATCCATCCGTCAGTAACACCATGACACCAGATGTCCCACACATCAGCACGGCAAATAAAAGCAAGCTAGCTTACAGATCGCACTAGATTTAGACACCCAAACAGCGTGTAACAGGAAGACTATTATTCGTTACAGCTGGGAGTGAAAGCAGGTAACAGTCTTCAAAATCCCAGCTCTGTGACTGGCCTTTTTCCCGCTGGTCTCCAAGAGTCATTTCAAAATCCACAATCTGCAGATGTTGAAAATAAGCACTACACTCTTAACTGAGCTGTCTACGTACAGGACTGTCCTACTGTGCACTGGTTCACTTGGCAAAGCTACAGATCACAGTGTTTGGAAACGGTATTCTGTTGTTTTCCTTGCCCCGTTATTGCAGTTAGCAGGAATACACACATATGTATCCTTTCTCCACTTTTTAAAACTTCAATTTCACACAGTTGACAGGATCTTGGCTAATGCCTTTGTCTTCAGCATCAGGGAATAGCTAGGGCTGACTTCATTGTTGAAGCAAACACACAACAAATCAACACTCTGAGTCTAGGGTAAAAAAATGGCATAAATTAAGTACATCCACTTATTCCACAGTCATATCTGGCACTCAGTTAATGAGTCTGGACACTGGACATGTGGAAATAACCTTGAAATGCAGTATGTATGCAGCTGAAACATGATTTATTGACAGTATACCACCAAGTGCCAAGTCCTTTGCTAGGGCTTACATTTTCAATATTAAATGCGTGCACATAAACATACTAAACTGTCGTTAAACTGATGCAAAGGGGATTCAGAGGAGATGTCATATGGGTTATGAAAGTCAAAAACCTCATACAAAACAGATGCGTGTACTGCTATTTCTGAATTCAGCTATTTCCAATGCAGCAACACAAAGAAAGAAAATTATTCTACTTGAGAGATTTAATCTTCTTTTTAGTCATCAAAGATCCTTCTTTATTGGAAAAAGAATTGTGTCCTTCAACCTCTTTTTCTTAACCAGAACTTCATTAAGAAAAGATTAATGTGCTATTAAGTGGAGTCAATGAACTTCTGAGTAACAGCTGATTCTGTCTGCTATGCACGTGAGGCGTTTTCACTTAAATACCCTCATCCCTCATTCCAGCAGTGGCTATTTAGTGGTGGTATGTATCACAACAGGTGATCTAAATACAATTCCATGCTGCAAAGCAAATAGGACAGATGAGTTGGAACCAAAACTCCTTAAAAGAAATAGATGGTGTGCCAAAAAATAGGAAAACCCCAAATCTTATCTGGATGCATAAAACCTTCATCAGAGATACTTCTGTTTTCTTTGTGAGTCATCTGAAATGATTCCTACCGAACAGATAATGAAAGTGCAATTACATGCAGAGATTGAAAACTGCTTGTGTATGTGTATTTGATGTTGCCTCTTTAAATGTCATCTGCCAAGGGGCTGCTGAAAGGTGGTTATCTCAGCAGGATGCTCTGGGAACTGGGAAATGTTCGTCATTGCTGCAGAAAGCTGAAAGCAGGAACAAAACCTATGTCCTACGAAAAGGTTTTCCACGACTATGTGAAAGGTAGTCCCTTATCCAGACACGCTCTTCTCCCAGTTGCAGATTTCCCCATGCTCCTGTCCATGGGAGCTGGCAGGAACACGGCAAAGGTACCAGAGAATGACGCCAGCACAAGCCTGGGCTGCTAGTAGGAGAGGAAGAATTTCAAAGGAAGGAAATGCGCTAGAATATCAATTAACTGTGTAATTAAAACAGCAAGGAAAAGAATGTCTGTTTCCTAACACAGCTGACTTTTGGAAACTATTTCTTCTTTTTCTCAATTTTTGCACGGGAAGAAAATAAATTACTCCTGATCTCCCTTGCATTACCATTTCTTAAAAGAGTTAAGATTAGAAAGTGACTGGACAAGTAAGCAACATTCAGAAAAAGTATGTCAGTACTTTAGTGATAAAATTTGCATAACTTCTCCAAATAAGCAAACGTAGTAGCACAGAGCTACCAGTGAACTGGGCCATTAACTTGGAAATCTGTGCAGTGAACAGTCAGAATTCATGGAAAAGCAGCTCTAAGTGTCAAGAATTATTAGTCAGTTTTGGAGAGAGTAAGAAATACAAGGTACCATCTGATTTCTTGCAGTGGAAGAGGTGTAGAGTATAGCTGCAGCTTAAAGAGCTGGCAGAGGCACAGAGGGCACATTTTAACATCTATTTGCAAACATTTGTGCCATAAAATCTATTCCTCTGTGAAAATGGGAAGGATTTCCTCTGATATTATGTACTCCTCTTCCCTCTGCACTGGAAAGGTCATTGGCATGGCAACAAAATCTTCATTTCTCAAGAGTCCATCTGCTGCTGGTATACACGCCTCATCTGAACTCACATCATTCTTTTTGGATGACATCCTACTTGGCTGTTGACAGTCTGTCGTCACGAGCACACAATCACAATTTCAGGTGAAGAATTAGCAGCAGCAGCAGCAGCAGATGGACTTCTGAGCAATGAACAAACTATTCTCTGAGATCGGGAGGAAAGAAAAGAAATACAGTAGAGAAATCCTGCCAGAAAATTAGGGTTTTTTGGATAATCTTACACTTCACAATTTCTCTAAAATATCAGCAGCTGATGAAAATAATTTCTTTTCTGTAATCTGTATTTTGTAACAACTCCCACTGAAATATCCTATACACTAACTCTCACGTTTTTATTTTTGACTGAAACAACCTTTTAAATATTGATTACAATTCAGCAACTGTACACAATTCCTCTTCAAAATATTGCTAAATACTATCATGCTAAATACTATCATGCCGTCAACTATGTAAGTCCCTTCAATATTTTTCTAACAACAAATATTAAACATCTGGCTTAATCAGTAACTCATCATGAATCAACTTTCACAGTATATTGGAGGCTGCAGGCAAATAATCATTAATTTACTTGTGGGACACTAGAATATGTATCGTTCCAGAATGAAAAATGACCCAGAATATGTTCTCTGTAACATGTGCAGCCACAATAATTACATCAGCTTTGAAGGCAATCTACATGCAGTGTTGGATCTCAGTGACAGATAACAAAGTGTCAGCTGGAGTGAAGAGTCCTCTACGGGAAGAAAAGGATCAAGCAAATTTCAGGAGAGTCTCAGGTTTGTTGAATTCACGCTGTCAGAAATACCATCTGTCTGTGCCCCCCGCTTGCCTGGAGCTACCACCTCATGGAGGTGTCACACGACTGCATTGTACTGGTCATTGTGCTGTCCTGCAGGACATTTAAAATGATGGTTTGTGTTGAGACACTGTAGTACAGTGTTGGATCACCACCTCGTCATGAACCTTGGCAAGACTACAGCATCAGACTCAGTAGTAACAAGTAGTGGCAGAGACGGCCAGATTTGGACCGCCTGCGCATGGAAACAGGAAAGGAGAATTTCACTGGTCCTGAATAGTCTGCTTATTGGGTACTGCATTTTGAAAGTGTAACCTGCAGAGATGAGGGGACTTTAAGCCGAGCAGAGGCTGGAAGAAGTTTAATGCCAGAATAGGATGCCCACCTTGGTTCAAGAAACCTCTGTTCTGATTTTGTTTGGATCTGGTCTGAGAGAGGGGATCCGGTCTCTTCTAGTCATACTCATGTGATTTTAAATACTTTTTGAAGAGAGGAAGGATTTTAAACAATCCTTCTTAAACCTAGGAGTGACAGAGAGTCAAGGCTGCCAGGAAGGGGCACTAGGCCTCTGTGCATTGCCAGAAGATACCTTCATGAGCTGCAGTTATCACCTACTGACCAAGCTGTTCACCACTTTAGAGACCAGAGCAGCAGTAGGAGAGGGCTGCCAACAACCCTTAACACCCTAACGTCCCGCTCACCTTCAGCAACTCTCTCTCCACCTCATCACTGACCAGGTCCGGGGGTTGCCTCCTCTCCCGGCACTGCAGGTTATCGGTGGCAATGGCATAGGGCACCTTGGTGGCATCGAGCGCCTTTTCCAGCCGCAGCTTCTGGGCCGCCAGCAGGCCCGTCTCGGCATCGAGGTCCTCAATCTCCTTCTGGAGCTCAGCCTTCCAGAAGTAGATGTCCTGCAGGCGCTGGCCCACGGTGGCCGTGGAGTCCTGCTGGGCGCGCTGGGCGGTGGCAGCGGCATGTTCGGCCAGCTCCT